ACTAAAATATTCTATTTTCCTTCATTTGTTTATAAAAAAATTTTATTTTCTTTTATGGAAGTTCACTGAACATTACTACATTAACCAGTATACAGGTTAATTCAATAGGAGACAAACAACTAAAAATCAATCTCAGTGCTCAGAAGTTTTGGGAAAACATTAAAGTTTTCCAATTAAAATGACAATCTCTTTATTAGAAAAAACAAAAAGAAATCGTGTGGTTGGACCTCAAAGTTAACCTAGGAAATTCAGTTGTTCCAGAAAGGAAATAAAGTGGATCTCACTGGAGTTCATAACGGATAACTGTGAAGAATAGGCCCCAGTATTTATTGAATACAAATGGGATTTGTGTCATTATACTTGACAGTGGAACATATTTTTAATATGTTTGTCTATGTGATAAGATTGTAAGTTCTGCAAGTGTCGAGATTCCTCTTTCTATTCCTATATTGCTACAAAACCGGGTGCACTGTTATATCACTCAACATGTGTTTAATTGAATTGAGATAGGATCTTTTATCTGTATTCAGTGCTCTTTTGTGAAGTCCTTGGAAATTTTCTCATCTCTCCTCCACAACACTTAAGCCACTGCAAAGATAACCAAACCATAGTTTGCTGGAAATTTTCATTCCCAGCAGCAAAAGCAAGTTCTGCATCTCTTTCTCAAGGAGGGATTTCATATGCTGGTATGTTCATTTGTTTAGTTGGTTGATTTGGTTTAGCTCTTGTCTGTTTGTTTGTTTGTTTTGTGGTATTGGGGACCAAATCCAGGGCCATGCACATGCTAGGTAAGTGCCCTGCCACTGAACAATAGCCCCAGCTATTCATATGCTTTTTAATATCTTCCTTTTCTTGGAGTCAAAGAGTACTTTCCCATTACTTTGAAAATTATTAGTCAAGATGAGGATGATTAATTATAATAGGAAAATAGAAGCTTGAAAAATTATCTCTTAGAGACTCAGCCTTTGCCTTTCCACAAAATGATATAATAAAATAACATTAATATTATATTTTATATTCTATTATTATAATATTAGTGTATCACGCCAAAAATATTAACTTAGCAAAATCCTCAGACAAATCAAATGTCAGTTTTTTAAAAATAGGCTTTCAAGTTTGTAGCACTGTATTTTTCGTTCTTTAATTACACGTAATTAGCAATAGATCGGCCACCAAAAGTTCAAATCCTTAAAGTACCAAATCATAGCATTCTGAATTGCCTGTGGTTACAAGATCACATTACAATGTTTAAGAGTCAGTTCTCTTATCGAGATTTCAAAGAGTTTAGACAGATTTCAGAGAGAAGAGATCATCTCTTTAATGTATTTTGTTCTAATAACTGAACTTCGAAAGTTCACATTATTACTGTAAAAATGTGATGTCAATGTTTTATATCTTTTGACCTAATGAATGAGGATCTTGAATCCATGAACATTTATAATGTCAAAAATAGAACTTAAACTTCAATGAACTTAAACTTGTGACTACTTTTTTTTTTCTTTTTCTTCATTCTGTAAATTCTTCATCCAGCATTTTTGGAGCACTGAGATGAAGCTTAAAAAAAAAAAAAGTCTAATTCATGACAAGAATGCAGAAGGGAAATATTATCAGAGATGAAGGGGATGGGGGAGGGGGAGGGAATACAAGGGAGAGGAATTGGGATGATTTAAATGATCAAAATATGTCAAATGCATATACAACTATGACACAATAAAACCCAGTATTCTGTATAAGTGATATGCTGTGATAAAAGTGTCATAAGCCAAAGTGTTGGCTCATATCTGCAATCCTAGATATTCAGGAGGCTGAGGCAGGAGTGTCGTGGGTTCTGGGCCAGCCTAGGGAGACCCTGTTCCCAATATTTTTTTTTAAAGGACTGGGGATATAACTCAGTGGTAGGACAATCGCCTACCATTCACAAGGACTTGGGTTTGACTACAGTACGGTAACAACAACAACAACAATTTCTAATCAAAATTATAAAATAATTTTTAATATGACACAATTCACTTTCACTTCAGAAAGATAAAATTCCCAACAATTGCCTTATTGTGCAGGAACAGAGTGGCACAGTAGGAATTATATTTCCTATTTTCACCATAGTTTGGGGATAGTAAAATGATTGGCCCTGATTTAAGAGATCAAGATAAGATATAAAGGAAAACAGCCAAATAAACTTAGGCCCTAGTGGTTTGAAATATGAACAGACTGTCACTTGATTTGAGGATGGATGGAATCTTTCTCCTGCTTTCCGTGTGTGACCTTCGATTTCTGTCTCGCAGAATGAGGACTATTTTACTTTCGTGTCCCATACTATGTGTTGTGTATGACTTCGATAAGGTTAGTAAAGGAGAACAAAAGTGTTAATTAGTATATTATTGGCAAGGAGCAGATGCCAAATGTTTAGAAAATCTTGCAAACTGGCATGAGATTCGTAACGGTTCTGGCTTTTGTTCTAATGCATGGGATTAAATGAATTGTCATTGCATTAGGTTGTATTTTGTTTTCTTGTCCATAATCCTATGCAGAGTGAGCATTCTGCCTACAAGAAAAACAGTGTAGTTTACACTGCCAATTCTTATCAGGGCTCATTCATTCTCATTCCAGAATGAACATTTTTCATTTTCCTTGTTAGGAAATTAGCAATGCAGCTCATATCCCTTCGATCAGTGGATGAAGGGAAGGATAATTTGTATAGATTACCCAATTTCCTGTGGGTGAATGAGAACACAAAGGGAAAGAAAGCATAGAGAAGGAGAAAAATACCAGGGTAGCCAGAGACAAAATCAGCTACTCAAAGCAGTTGCCTGGAATGCAGGGAATGGAAGCTCGAGGTGATTGTTTGAAACTGAATGAGTCAATTGTTTAATACTCTTTTGAAACATTTGAAAAGTCCATAACCTCTAGGTAAAGTCAATGTTTTTATAACAAAGATAACCAGAGTTCTACACAGCTATTAACTCCTTCTGAAAACACTTGAATGTCATTATTACAGTTTGTGTTATAAAGTATGTTCTGTAAACCAGCTATCGTAACTTTTTTTAATGTATTCTAAAACAAGAAGGTGCCTATAATGAATGGGTAATGAAAACAGAGGAGACATTCTTTCTTGACAATTATACCGCTAGATTCTATCTAGGTTGGGTGCGGTGGTATAAACATGAAGTCTGGGCTAATAAAATGGATCATAACCAAGAATAAAAACCTAAGCACCAAAGGAGGAAAGTGGTGTTTCTCTCTATTCATAAACAGGCATCCACGGGCATCTCAATATTGGACATTACCTACAAGACGACTGGCAGCCCATTTTACTACATTTGGAAGCTGGTAATTACCAGTGACAGTTTATACTTGGCAGTCCTCTCTCAGTATTATAATCATAAAATCTCTACAATCTAGAGGAAAGATTTCTCTTTTTACAGCCCACCCGGCCCCTCAGTTTTGTTGCAGTCTTCAAACTCAGCGAGGCATGTTCTCAACTTCTATGCTCAGTGATGAGTTCCAGTCCCCAGATGTCTTTATTTCTGTGAACTTTTCCACTTTATTATAAATGTTGCTATAGATGAGCCAGGCATGATGGTGCACACCTGCAATTCCAGTGGCTCAGGAGGCAGAGGCAGGAGGATTCCAAATTCAAGGCCAACCTCAGCAACTTCAAGAGGACCTCAACAACTTAGTGAGACCCTGTCTCAAAATAAAAAATAAAAAGGACAGAGGGGGTGTGGGGCTCAGTGTTGAAGCATCCCTAGGTTCAATCCCCAGTACCAAAAAAAAACAAAAAAAAGGTTACAGAATGAGCTGTTCTCATAAGGGTCAAGAAAGTTACATAGCAGGAAAAGGAATTTCAGCCTCAAATTATGTGGTCACCCATGCTTTATGTATCCATATGAGTCTAAGAATGTGAAAGGCGGTCATCATTATTTTTAGATAAATTTTTTCTCTTCACTGTATACCCTGGGGTAGGAAAAAGTGACACCCTGCAGTGCCCACAGATTGGGCTGGACATCTCATAAACCTCAGTCTTCTTCTTGGCTTCTCCTAGTAGCCCCTAAATCTCTGGAGTAAAAATTCCAGTTATGTTGGGAGAGCGAGTTACTTCTCATGTTACCCCAGATTTAGTCAAAGGAGTTTCTGGTGCGTTAAAAGTGTTCCAGTTGTTTTCATTATGAATTTACTACGTTGGTTTATTTCAACAAAATGTAGTTAGTGATTTCTCTCTGAGTGAATTTGCTGTCAGTCTGTGTCCTTAGGGAATTTGCCCTCTACCTGTAAGTGTAGATGCCCTAGTGAAACTGATCTTAGGATACTTATAGGATAAAATACAAATGAAGACCAAAGAATTATGGTACAAGTATGTCAAGATCAGATTAAGAGAAGTTCACTTTCCAAGTATAGACATAAAAAGGTATCTGGGAAGATAACTGTACCCTCATTTTCTGTCATCAGTCCATGCCTAGTGACTTACTTTCCACTGGGTTTGCAGAAAACCCTCGTAGGAAGGGTTGGAAGCCTCTCCAAGTTTGCAATATTGGCAATAATTTCGAAAGTAGTTAGTGGCAAGATGCTGCACCACCCTCCATAGCCAAAAAATTCCAAATATGTAGCAATGGTGGTGAAATCACCCACTCAACCTCAGATTCCTGAAGTCCTTCCAGATGCCACACAGAGACCTGGGTCTCCGAATCATCCAAGTAACAGCCAGATGAACAGCAAAATATAATCCTTCAACGAGTTTTTAAATTTGAAAATTGCTTAAGATTTAGGGAAAAATGACAGTCATTCAATGTATCCCTCAAAACTGTAGTCAATGCTACAATAATAGGGTCATATTTCTAAAAATCTAAATGATTTTAGCAGGAAAGATTCTTGTGGTTGACACACTTCCACATGTAAGGGTAACTGAATGGAGAGGAATAAATTTATTTAAATATTTATTTTTTTTTTTAGTTTTAGGTGGACACATATCTTTATTTGATTTTTATGTGGTGCTGAGGATCAAACCCTCATGCATGCTAGGTGAGCGCTCTACCCAGCATGAGAGGAGTAATTTTAAAAGAGAAACTAGAAGAATTCTTACAGGTATTTTTTGCATTCATCAAACATTTCAATACTTTTCTTGTGCCAGGCGCTCTGTGTACATTACCTCTATTACCTCAGTTTTTGTAGCAATTCTAAACAGCATCTCCATTTTACTGTTGAAGTTTAACTTTCCCAAAGTCATACACAGAGTAAAATAATACAAATAGGGTTCAGAAATAGAGTCACATCATTTCAAAGCCCATTCTACTGTGGCAATGATGCCGACATTGGAGAAGGAGAAGGAAGTTACTGTAATTTCTGCATTTACATCTATGACATTTCCATGCTCTTCTGGAGACTCCACCTTAAGCTTTTTAAAAAGAATGATATCTGTGTAGTATCATATCTTCTTTCTGCATCTAATTAGTCCAACTTTGTATCTTCTGAGGCTCCACTGAGGCACTGTTCAAAGTAGAATCTTGGAGGACTGAATATTCATAAAGCTGTTTTTCACAGTTGAAAACTGCCTCTTATGTTGGTCCATGGGAAAGGGTGTGGAGCAGTGCATAGCTCTGTCTTCATAAGCTGAGTGCTGGGTCTGATTTCTCCTTGGCAGCCGTGTTTCCCTGCCATAATTAACCTCCAGTGTCCTGTGGCTAGGAGAAGGGCATTTTAAACTTTCTTTGCCAAGAAGAGTCACCTGCTGTTATATTCTACCAAGTTGAATACAGATTTTTACTTTGCACAGAATCATAACATTTCATGTTTTCCAGCATTACACATCCCAGTAGAGCTACAACTCATAGGCATTGCCTTTAACTGCCTTATCCTAATAGCCAGTTGTTTTAAATCCTACCAGAATCCTGGTGAAACACAATGGTCTTATTAACAGAGTAGAGGTATTGATGCTTGACTTGCTATTGATGCTATTAATTTATAAATTGAAAGAGAAGAAATATCTCTAAAAGGAGGTGACACACCCTCCAAAGCCCAACTTGCCACCATCTTCTTGCATCTGGTTTTATTCTGGCAGAAAGTGGGGTTGGGGGCAACAGAGATCCTGAAGCAGCAGAGTGAGCTCTGCAATCTATGTGCAAAGACTCCCAAGTCAAATATCTGCTGCCAGATCTCTATCCTCAGCTCCAGATTTATATTAGGATTTGCAAAGAGATACTATCTCCCAGATGCCCCACACATTCTTCAACCTGAATATGCTTAGACATAAATTCCAAACCAACCGCTTCTTTTATATTTCTTGTCTCTCTTAAGAGAACACCATCTAACCCATGCATCTAAGCCAGAAATCTCAGAACCTCATAATCAATCAATCATTAAGTTCTAGTCTATCTCTTTCACCCCTAAATAACAATTCCCTTCCTACCTTTTTTTTTACTTCTACTTTTCTTGGAACCCTCATTAATGAACATACTAGTACTGCTGTCTGCCAAACCCATCCAGCCTTTCCCATCATTTCCCTTTTAGGAAAAAAAAAAGTATTATTCTGCCACTAAATGGGCCACAGCAAACATATGACTCAAAACTTTAGCTTGTGATTAATGAGGTTGCCTAACTATGAAAATTCTACTCAACAGAGGCAGCAGCTTCTAGCAGATTAGCTCCTTCCATAATTTGGAAGTGCAATGGGAGGGGGGTGACCTATCCATAGAAAGAGGATAGGAGAGAAGACAGACGGAGTGAAGCCAAGAATTTTGTGTGAGAAAAACATAGAGAAGTTGGCCCTCGGAGGTGCTGAAGCATAGACAGATTGATGATTACAAATCTGGCATACAAATGCACTTAAATGAACACTCATTTTTATTAAGGAGATTAGTTTATGTGCCTTGAAGCCAGAAAGCTGTGGCTAACACAGATGGGGGGTCAAGAGTAGCCTTGAAGACCCAGGGCCTTAGAGAGGGGGTGTGAGTTTGTCTGTGGGTTATGGAAGATTGGATAACTCCTTTCAGGATGGAGAGGGAGACACTCATGTGCAGCAAAGATAAAATGGATCCTGTCCTGACCAAAGCAAGGCTTTGACCGATTTTATTTTGGAGTAATTCCAGTTAAATACGAAATGCGAGTCAAAGTCCCTCTCCCTCTGTACCATTCTACCCCTCCTCCTGCACCCCCTCTGAAAGGATAAGCTCCAAGGTGTTGAGGGGTTACTTTTGCATGATGAAAATACAAGAGACTCTTGAGATCTTTCAAATTAATTGTATTTTTTTCTGTCCCTCCCCCGATAATGTCCACGCTCTGGTTTCAGGATAAATAAGAAAGTGAAAATGAAAAGACCAAAAGAAAAGAAAGATAATGAAATTCACAGACCCCAGAGCTGGATGATTGCCTTTCACATGATTAGATGGGCTGCAGCAGAGAAGCACACGCTCTGGTCCCAGGTAGCCTGGCCGAAAGCAGATAAGGAAACACAGGCCCGCCATATGACTTGGCTTCAGGAAACCCTTTCTGTTTGTAACCAGTATTCTGAGACCACTTAAAATCAGATCCAAAACTAATAGTTCCCACTGCTGAATTGCAATGTCAAGCTGAATTGTCTGACTTGCCAGGTTTCTATGGTTAAATTAATGCCCTGCTTGGCAAAGACTGTCATACTTGCAATTGGAACCATCTGAGAGGAGCCAGAGGAGCCTGGCTTTCCTGATTCCTGGGTCCCTCTGAATTGCATCTCTGCATTCATCTGCTTCCCCCAAGGGTGGAATGAGGTGCAAGCTAGTAATGAGGATTCAGATGCAGCATTAGATTCAGTGATGTGCAAACCCAGTATAGTGCAGGGGAGGGGAGGATATATAAAAAAAAATTATGAGTTGTCTCAGGAGTATGAAGAGGAGCATCATAAGAATACACAGACATGATCTTCCCCCATTTGCTTAACCAAATACCAAACACACTTTAAGAAGATCTGACCAAATTTATTCCAAACTCAGGATAAGGAAGGAAGGAGAAGAAGCAAGATTTCACCTCTGTAAGCACATTCTGAGCCCTATGGTACCTTAGACACAAAAGATGTGACTAATAGAGAACTGGATTAGGCTTACAGGCAACCAACCCGTAAAAGCAATGTGAATTTGGTATAGGGTGTAGAAGACCGAGAAACCACGAGGACAGCTTCTCCCAATCAGAACATATAATCTATATGCAATGATCCTAAGTCAATCATCTCTAGCCAGATCTCTATTCTAGGCAGCCTTCCAAGGGTTTACTGGGATCAATCCTGACCCAGTCTGCAACAATGAAGGGTCAGCCCTTCCACCATTATGAAAAAAGGTTTACAAATGATACAGAAGATAGACCTGGTGAAACACTTCCCTCTCCTGGTATTTGACTCAACTGCTTTAATTGATTCTTATTTGGACTGAAAGATAAAACTCTCTCAAATTCATTCAAAATAATCTAATAAAAGAAGCCTTCTTGGGAATGAAAACCACCCTCCTGATTAGAATTTGCAGATGGTGAAAGGTATCTGCTGCTAAAAAAAAAAAAAAAAACGGATCATGCAGTTATATCTGCATTAAATAAAAAAGTAGCACCCGAGTAAGTATACCATTTCTAGTGTTAGTGAAGCCTAAAACTCATTTACCTGTCTTTGATCCCAGATTCTAAGGAAACCGAAGTAACAGGCATTCTAGTAAAGATCATTTCAATAAGGATAAAACTAGTGTGGAAAATACTTTCTAGGATTCAGAATAAAGGAAATAAAGTGAATGAGCTACTCCATCAGGAAGAGCTGTGTGTAAATGCAGAGAGAAGCAGAAATGCTTCCCTGAGAGGAAAGGCATGTCACGGACATCAGAGCAGCTCATCTGATGATTTCCACATCCAGTCTGCATGGGACATGAGGCCCTTCTTCCTAGAATCTGAATGAGTTGGTTTGGGCACCAGAAGATCCTCGCTATCGATTCTCCCCAGGTCTTGGCAAGCTGGTCTTCCATCTTTTCCCACTCAGCTCTACCAGACATCTAACTCTAGAAGAGTATTTTTAAAACAGAATCTAGTCATGTGATTCTGCTTTCAAGCCCTCCATTGGTACTCAATGTGATCCTGCAGATTTCTTCAGTTCAAACTCTTACCACACCCCAGCAGGTGTTTCTGGCCAGTGACAACCATCTGAAGTCCCTCAAGCTTATTCCCTCTTTTGCCGTGGTAAGCACATACGTAACATTGTCTTCCCTCTGGCTCTCTTCCTCTGGTCTTTCTGAATCTACCAGCCACCCCTGATGAACTCGATGACGCCAGACTCAGGTGGGAAGATCACTCCTGGGCCTGGAAAAGTTAAGAAGTTTCCCTCCTTCTGCCCTATGGATTCCTGCTCTCTTGCTTGTGGCACAGATCATAGCACTGTGTCTCTGGTAACACTTGTTTTCCCCCACTTGAATGGGATTGCCTTAAGAATGGGAAGAATCCTTTTGAAATTTGAAAAATAATCTTTTATTATCTTTCAATCCCCTGCACAGTTATTAGATTTCCATGAATGTCAATTAAAAAAAAAAATAGGCTATAGATCATTTGCTAGCAGATGTCACCAAAAGTCACAGGTAAGACCTTAGAGAGGGCCTGGGACTGCTAAAGTGAAATCTCTGGTTAGTTAAGGGACACATCTCCCCCACCCTGTTATACCCTATCCTTTTGGGAAGCCCCCAAAATCCTTTCAAATGGATAATTTTGACTTTCCTCCTCTGAGGCCTATTCCCATGACTTAGAATACTTCCCATCTGATCACTCAGGACATAATTATCCACCAACAAACATGGCCACGACTCTTATATAATTCAACTGTTTTACCTAACTTTTTGGGCAACAGAGCTATACTTGTGCATCATAGAGGCCGGAGCTATGTAGGTCCTGTGACATCGGAATTCTGCTTGTGTGCCTATATTTTGGAAACATTCTTAACATGCTTAAGATTTCCCTTCAATGTCTTAGCAAGCCTTTATTAAGAGTGTTGTTCTACATGCCAGGCATATTTATTATTGTTACAATTTACTGAGAGTGTGGCAGGGTTAATAATCTATGTACTACCAGTCAGTTCTGAAACAAAGTTTCTTTATTTTGTACATTTAATCTAATTTTGCTCTCAAGCTACTTCACTGCTGGTTAAGAGGAGACAAGAGGACTGCTAAATGCCATTTGCAATGTCTTTGGGTCAGCTGTTATAAACTAAATCCTCAGGACTTCCATTCTTCTTTCCTGCATTCTCAAGTGTAAGTCTATGGGGGACTTTCGAGACCATGAGTTACAGAGATAGAGGCATCTCAAGGCTATACCCAGAGATCTCCAGGATGGATGACCTGTGCACTGACAGCTATTTAGATGCACTGACCTCTACAATAAGTTCCTGTCTGCCAGTCGCTGGCTGTCCTACAGGCCCACGCTGCTTGAGTCCAGGTCTCATGTGCTCCTGTACCTTTGTCTTGGTTCCATCCACCTGGGCTCTCCTTGGCACTGTGGGCCTGACTGTCAGCCAAGCCCTTTCTCCAGCTCTGGTTTAGACAGACTAGCCGGCAGCAGTAGGGTTGCTCCGCTCTCGTCCCCACAGCTGCCTGGTGGATTCTCCATCCAGGTACTTTCCATTTCCTGCTAATCAAACACATATGATCCTGAGACTCTGGTGTATGTACAGATTTGGAGAATGGGGGAGCAGGACAGCTAGCCCTCTACTTAACACTTCATTCAACTACTTGTAACATATCCTCTAGAAAGACACTTCTCACGCCATGGTGGACTTTCCCCAAAAAAATCCATTACACCAGTATTTTGTAAAATGCAATAAAAATTAATTAGAAGAAAAATTTAAGTGACAAAAGGGAAACAATACAAGCCTCAGTTTTTAAACATTATTATTTGAGAACTGGGGATGTGGTCCTAGTGATAGAGCTCTTGAACCATATGTGAGAGGCACTATATATAAAAATTATTTATATACAAATAGGCATACCCAGACACATTATATGTATGGACATATATAACAAATAACACAAATATAACATACAAAAGTACAATATACAAATACAATGTAGTAATAATATATACATATTGTTTGATTGAACAATTAAAATTGCTTTAAAATTTTCTAGAAGTTTAACCTGTATTTCAGAACCTCTCTTTGGGAGGGTGACAGGTTTCTGAAAAACGATCACAGGCCAGTGCCATCCTTCTCAGGTCTGCACTTTGAGAAGCACTGGGCTAGAAGGTGTCTCCTTGGACTGAGCACTTCCTTGACGCATCAGCCCAGGCAGCGCCCCAGGCAGGGTAGAGCAAGTCCCACTGTTCTGGTATTCTGCACAGTTTCCCTTTTAAAATTTTTCTAATGGCCTTTGAACGCCACACCCACCTGTACTGGTTGTGACCACGCCCGCCAGAGGGTTTTAGCCTCAGAGGTGAAGCCAGGACCCCTTCCTTTGCCTGCGTTGACCTCTCAGTGTCTGCCTGTTAGCAGGAGCCTCTCAGTTCTATCTTCTTGCTTTTCCTGTATTTGAGACTTACAGACAAAATTCCTTGCCTCTGCTTTTGAAATTTGAACAGGAGGGGTTTCTTTTCCCTTCCCCCCCCCCACCATTTCCCCAGCATTTTGGCAAATTCACTCTCTAAAAGGCTCAACTCTTTTGCTAGGAATTTTTTTTTTTTTTCAAGTTGGCTTTGAAACTCAGGCCGGATCAATGCCCTCTTTGTTCCAGATGGTATCCGCCCTCTTCCCAGAGGGACAACTGCCATTGACAAAATGGGTGGGGAGCCTCAGAGGCAAAAAGAATTTACAGGATCTAAAAATATTGCATAAAACACCTATTAGGTAATTAAACAGCAATAATCATGAAGGAGTTTTAAACTCTTTGTCACTATTACATTATACTTGCTTGAGGATTGCATAAAATGAAAATTTGGATAGAAAGCTTTTTTTATTCCTTTACTATATACTCATCAAACCATGAGACAGGAAGTGTCCCTATTTATGTTTTTATAGAGAGCCAAAAATAATTTCACTAGTACAAAACACAGTTAAATTTTTAAGAGTTCTTATGTATATGAGTGTATATGTACAAGTGTATATGAGTGTATATGTGTGCACATGCATGCAAATATCAGAAAGAGGAGTTAGTTTTTAAGTGAATGATTGACCCTTATGTATTGTTGGAATTTTAACATCACTTACCAATTAAACCCTGCTTTACTTTCATGACAGTTGAATGGCCCGGAAAGAAAAAATGGATAGTTCCTTCTCAAAATTCTTATATTTCAATAACTACTTTCATAAAAGATGCCTGCAAAGTTACAATAAATAATTCAAAATGACATCAAAAGACACTAGAAAATCTAGACAGTGTTTATAGGTACTCTCTTTTTGTTAATTACATTGTAACCATATGAATAATTCTAGTCAATATTTCCATTTCAATTTTATATGCTTGAAAATTGCTATTAAAACTATGAATTCTAATCCAGGTAAGGTAGTGCATGCCTATAATACCAGCAGCTTGGGAGGCTGAGGCTGAGGAGGATCACAAGTTCAAATCCAGCCTCAGGAACTTAGCAAGACTCTGTTTCAAAATAATTAGGGCTGGGATGTGGCTCAATGGATAATCGCCCCTGGGTTCAATCACAGGTACCAAAAACATGAAATTCTGGTTTTCTGAGACTTTACCCCTTCCTTTAAGGCTTATAGCCCAACACAGGTCATTTTATTATTTGATGTTTTTGTTCAGGCACTGAAATATTGAAGAAACCAAATAGATGCTCATCAAATAATTGTTGGGAGTTAAATCTCAACTTTCCCACACTTCTGTTCAGCACATGATCCCTCCCTGTGTGTGCATTTTAAATCACACAGAATTAATTAAAACAATGTAGAAAACATTTAATGTTTAAAAAATTCTAAATAAATATTACTATATATACTACAATAGCTTTTAAAATCCATTCTTGGGGGTACCATCCAGCGTCCAGATAGGAAAAAGATGGCACATTCCCACTGTATAATTTGGGAAATTTAATTGAAGACAAAATTACATTTCATTTTAGTTGTCACCACTCTTGGGTTGAAATATGCCAATGGAGCAGAACCCCAAGATGGAGAAAGCTGAAGTACACAATCCTTAATAAAACCCACCACTTTCAGGAGGCTCTGCCAGAAGATGCAGAAACCAAGCTGAAGAACACAAACACGTTTCTGTGACAAACACAAGTAGCGATTTAAATGACATCACATGTATTCTTCTTTCCCACTATCTGCCATCACCTACCCTTTAACGAGATCTGGGACTTTGGGCCCAGGGAGGTGGCCAACCCAAAGTGATCCTCTGACAAGAACAGAGCCTGGGGAATAAATACCCTGTCTTCAGTTTCTTTCCTCTGCTTGATCTCGGGCTGGTGTTCCCCATCAGCAGATTCAACTGGAAGTCAGAGTCTAAGGAAGCCTGCTGATGTGGATCAGAGTCCTCTCTCCAGAGGAGGGTGGAGAGTGGAAAACACAAGCCAGAGGGGAAAGCACAAGACCTCTAACGAAATCAATATGTTCTCTTGCAGCGTATGCTCCAAGAGAATGCATGGTTGGATGTGCTTTCTTTAAAATATTCTGCACTTGATGCATGCTCAAAAAGCATGAAAGCGCTAATGAGAGGGTGTATGCGCACATGCCAAGAACATCACCTGCCAGTGCTTTTGCGTAACTCCTTGTGGTAATAATAGTAAATATATTTTTTGACATTTCATTCTGTGCCAGATATCATACATTCTTGAATTATAATGGATATGTCATGTTTGTGGCTATCAGTCATAAAATACCTCCCTGAATTTATGGAGTTTCCCTCTTTGTGAGTCTTAAATTCCAAAGGAGAAACCAGGACTGAGCTGGGTATTATTGTGCAGAGCTCGAATCCCAGAGGCTCAGGAGGTTGAGGCAGGAGGATCACAAGTTCAAAAGCCAGCCTTGGCAATTTAGCAAGGCCCTAAGCAACTCAGTGAGGCCCTGTCTCTAAATAAAATATTTTTTTTAAATGACTTGGGGGTTGGGACTGTAGCTCAGTGATGGTGTGCTTGCCTACCATGTGGGAGGCACTGGGTTCCATCCTCAGCACCACATAAAAATAAAACAGATATAACAAAGGTATCCTATAAGAAAAAGAAAGGCCACACAGTAATTTAAAAAAAAGGTGGGAATTGGCTGAGTGATTAAGTACCCCTGGACTCAATCCCCAGTACCCCCAAAAAATAGGAAGAAGAAGGAGAAGGAGGAAGAGGACAATGATGGAGATGGCAATAAAAGGACTGAGTTTCCCAACTTCAGGCATGTCAACCAATCAGGCTTCTCCAAGTAAGAATGAGTTTGAAAAACAGCACAAAACAAAGAGTACTAAGTTAGGGCTCCTTTTTCCCAGCAGGCATGGTGAAGATAGCACAGAACCCGTTCTCCCAGGCAGGGTTCATAGCAGGAAGTGTTCCTTGCCTGGTCCTTCAGAGTGAACGCTGGTGTCATGCCAAGCAAGGATGTGGACTCATTATATTTCTTGGCTGTGAGGCCACTTGTGTCTGATTTTCTGGCTCTCCCAAAGATTCTGTAAGCCATCCTAAACTGCTTCCTTTTCTACTGAAACTAGCTAAAATAAAACCTGCTGCTTGTAGGTTTCTTTTTTAAATCTGAGGAGATGCCCATTTTAAACAACCTTTAAAATCATCTTATGAATTATTCTTGTGGAATAAAATTGGAGTTTTTGCCAGTGGCCAAAGGACCAACCACAAGGAGATGGTTCTGTTTGGTGCAGAAGCTCACATACCATCCACTCTCCAAAATGGCCCCTTTGCCCTGATAGCGAACTCATTGGAAAAGTCGACAGCAAATTCTCCCAAAGAAGTGAATGCTGAAGGAGCTGCTTTAGAGAAAGTTGAGGAAAGAAGATAATGATCATCTGAGAGACTCATGTAGATACAACTGCATCTATACAAAAGGAATTAAGGAATCTGGTTGGTTTTCATCATAAAGAGAAAAGTGCTACGATTTAATGTATGAAATAGAGGAGTGACACTCATGTCAGGCTGAGCACGGCAGAGTTTCTCTTCTCCTTACACATTAAACTCTGATGTCATCTACGTCCTGCTGGGTCCTTGGAGTATAATATGCATTTGGTATCTGTTATGTTTGAATATGTTCCTTCCAACTTCAGGTGTTGCTAATGTGATAGAAGTGTTAGGAGGCAAGGCTTATAAGAGAACAGGAAGGCTCCACCCCTTGCGAACAGGATTAGGTGCTCTTAGAACAGAACTTGACAGTAGTACATGCCTTAGTAGTACATGCCTTAGTAGTACATGCCTGTAATTCCAGCAACTAGGGAGGCTGAAACAGGAGGATCAAAAGTTTGAGGCCAGCCTCAGCAATTTAGCGAGACCCTAAGCAATATAGCAAGACCCTGTCTAAAAAATAAAAAGGGCTGGGGATATGGCTCAGTGGTTAAGTGACCCTGGATTACATCCCTGGAACCAAAAAAATGAAAAAAGAAAAGGATTTGACAAGGAAGTCTGGCTTGCTCTGCCTTAGGCCTTGTGAGGATACACTGTTCCTCCCCTCTAGAGGATGCAGCCCTCTCTATACGCTGAACCTGTTGTTATCTTGACCTTAGATTTCCCAGTCTCCAGATTTGTGAGGAAATAAATTTCTGTTCATTGTACATTACCTGGTCTTGGCCATTTTGCTACAGCAGCACAAACAGACCAAGACAGTATCCATTAACTCTTCCACAGGTGGTTCAGAAGTTTTTCATAAAATTTCAACTCATTGTCGGTACAATGAAGCACTGTATCATATCTACTTTTCTCATAGCTTGTCTTTTTTTTCCTTATCCTCACCCTCTCATCCTTCCTTTCCTTAGTTCCCCTTGTCATCCAAATTATGTTTCCTTCAGGAAAAAAGATAAATGAATTATTTCACTAATAACAAACCTATACAGTCAGTCCCCAATTTACAATGGTTGATTTATAGGTTTCATTTTAAGATGGTGCAAAAGTATACCTATACAGCCATTCTGTTTTTCACTGTATAGGGTATTCAATAAATTACATGAGGTATTTAATACTTTATTATAAAGTAGCAATTCTAAAGACCTTTCAGTTAAGACAGGCTATTATGATGCTGGGTGTATTAAATAATTTTAGAATTATAACATTTTCAGTTTATGGTGGGCATATAAGGATGTAACCCCATCATGAGCTGAGAAACAGCTGTGTATCCAAATCCATCAAAATGTTGGTTCAGCAAGCCAGGCATGGTGGCGTATGCCTATAATCCAAGCAGCTCACGAGCTGAGACAGGAGGATCTGGAGTTCAAAACCAGCCTCAGAAAGGCAAGATGCTAAGTAACTCAGTGAGACTCTGTCTCTAATAAAAATACAAAATTGGGCTGGGGATGTGCCTCAGTGGTTGAGTACCCCTGAGTTCAATCTCTGGTTACCTCCCCCCGCCAAAAAAAAAAAGTTCAGCAAAACAAAAGATCACCATCTACTTAATGAAATGTCTTATCTCTACAAGG